TATATAAAGGCAACGTCGCCCTACTTGGGAAGAAGAGAGGGCGACGTCGCATATTTTTTTATAAACTTATATATATAAATAAATAGATATATAAATAAAAAGATTATATATATATATATATGCGACGTCGCCTTGTTTTTCTACGACATTGCCCCACCTAGGGAGAAGAGAGGCGACGTCACACATTTTTTTTAAAACTTATATATATATATATATATAGACGATGTCGTCTAAGTTTTCTGCGACGTCACCCTGCTTGGGGAGAAGAGAGGTGATGTCGCTGAAAAAAATACTTATATATATATATATATATATACTGCTCGGTACCATATTGTACCTAGAGAATGTCGAAACTTCCGTATGGTACAATATTTCAATCCTTGCTTTTGAGAGCTTAAACATCATAATTAATAATTTTATAAGTACTTACCTCTTCGAAATTGACAAATCATAAATCTTGTTTCATTTTTCCGGTATAGTATTATCACAAGTGATTATGTAATGGGAGCTTTCTTTTTTAAGAAACTTTCGCAAACTAGTACACTTTACAAATGATTTTCCACATAGTATATACATAAATATATTTATAGGCAAATTCTTGTAGATTGTTTATTGTGCCACTTACATGAATAAAGACACTGCCGGATCTTTTGACATGTCCAGGTGGTAGTTTCAGACTTTGTTACTGTTTCATAACTGCAAGTTTCACTTTATTCAGGAACCACTGGAAAGCCAAAGGGTGTAAAGATAAGCCACACAGCTTTGATTGTTCAATCCCTTGCAAAGATAGCTATTGTTGGCTATGGTGAGGATGATGTATGCTCCTTTATAAATGCAGTCAAGATCTTAGTTTTATGGTAATTAAATCTATAGCATGACACTTTGACTTGTTCACTCTTCCAGAATCTACAAGATGATGTTTTGAGCTGTTTCTCCTTAATCGATGAATAAATTAGCATTTTTCCGAAGGGGGCATTTATGCAATAAATATTGAATTAATTTAGTTCCATTTTTCTTAATTCACATTATGCACAAATGGTGAGAAAGATGCATATAGCCAATCACAAATATTAAGAACACTAGGCCCTTTTATTGTTGTTGTTATGTTATAAATCACATTATGCAGGATCAGTTTCACAGATATCATAGCCTTTCAGTTGATCTGATAAAATTTGACCCAAGAACTAGGTGTCTCGCTGGATGATTTATGATTAATGATGTAGTTTATGTATCTTCAGGTTTATCTCCATACAGCTCCTTTGTGCCACATTGGTGGGATAACTTCATGCATGGCAATGCTATTAGCAGGGGGTTGCCATGTTTTCATACCCAAGTTTGATGCAAAGTTAACTTTTGAAGAAATAAAAAATCACCAAGTGACATCATTTATTACAGTTCCTGCAATGATGGCTGATTTAATATCATTTATAAGGTAAACATCTACTTCCATGGAACAACATATGAACATAGCTGAGCTTGGATTACTCCATTTCTTCTACAGCTCTTTTCTGTTCTTCTCGGGCATTGAATTTGACTTGTTGATAGTAGAAAATCCAACATGTGGAGTGATGGAGAAACTGTACGCAAGATTCTCAATGGTGGTGGTGGCCTATCAGAAGAGCTTACAAAGTGTGCCAGTCACTTGTTCCCTCATGCTAAAATACTTTCTGCTTATGGTATGTCAACATCCTTTGTTGGTTCCTTATGCTTTTTTGGTTATACCAGTCTGTGGTAGCTAATTATTCTGGAACACTACACTGCTAGTGTAACATGTGCAAAGACCAAACTGATGTTCCAAGGAACATGAGTGGTTTAAATAGATATACAATACATATATAGTCCTATATCTCCCTGTTTGTTTATCAGAACTGATCAGATATATGGTATATCCAAATCCTTCTATTTAAACATCTTATAAAGAACCGAGGGTATATAAATTTTTGAACTATAATTTCAGTTCAAGCACAGAAACTTGTTACACTTCCTTGAGATCCTGAATTATTTTTGCTTCTGAAGAAATAGTTTTGTATGACTTGACAGGGATGACAGAGGCTTGTTCTTCATTGACCTTCATGACCCTTTTTGACCCCATGTTTAAAAATGTTGGTGTATCTTTTCATGATAAGATCAATGTTGAGGCAGACTCACGGCATCACCATTTAGGGGGAGTGTGTGTTGGGAAGCCTCCCCCTCATATTGAGCTGAAGATATCTGGCAGTAGTGACAATTGTTGCACTTCCTTTGTTGGGAATATCTTAACTAGAGGTTTGCATGTTATGGTTGGGTATTGGGACAGCACAGATGTAATTATGGCAGAGTCTGCAGAGAACAGATGGCTTGACACAGGTGACATTGGCTGGCTTGATGGCAAAGGTGATCTGTGGCTTGTTGGCCGTGAAAAGGGTCATATAAAGACTGGAGGAGAAAATGTTTACCCTGAAGAGGTATAGAGATGTTTTTAGGCGCTCTTTGGATTATTTTCTGCTGCACTCTGGGATGCTACCCATCATGCATTATAGAGATGTCTTTCTTTTCTGATATTGTTTTGTTATTGATGGTTTAGGTTGAAGCTGTGCTTTCTCAGCATCCTGGAGTCTTCAGAGTTGTGGTGGTTGGTGTTCCTGACAGCCGCTTCACAGAAAAAGTTGTTGCTTGTTTAAACATAAAGGAAGGTTGGAAATGGGTCGATCATAGTTCTAAATACTCACTGGAGGCAAAAGAAGTTTCGCCTGAGATCTTCCAAGACCATTGCAGGCAGAGCAATTTAAGCAGGTCTAGTGTCCCATCTACTTCATTGAAGTCAATTTGAGAGCAACATGATATGGTTTTTTAGCTCCTAATTCATTAGTATCTGTTGTTTTTAGATAGTGTCTGTTCTGTTCTTCATACTTATAATTTATTATTAATTTTGGTTACTAGAGTTATCGGCCTTTGAACCATGTCACTAATCGAATTTAGTTTCAGAAGAATCTGACTATGAGTATTGTAACTGTGTTACTTTCTAACTTCATTGCAGATTCAAGATACCAAAGATCTATTCTTTATGGAGAAGACCTTTTCCATTGACTACCACAGGGAAGTTAAAAAGGGATGATATAAGAAAAGAAGTAATGTCTTCCATGCAACCAAGGAGCAATCTGTGATATGAAGATAGTTTTGAGCAATCCATGGTTTGAGCGACGATTGGTGATAGGTCATAGAGGCAATTCGCTCGTAAATTATGCTAAAATCAATTAATTTTGATCAGCAGAAGCTGTATCATCACTGAATCTACCGAAGAATGTTCTTTTTTCTGTTCTCTCTTCTGAAGATCTGTATCTGAAAAATTGTCCAGTATTAAAGTACTTGACTTTTATATTTCAAAGAAACAGACTATTTCTGATATCAGCTACTAAAGTTTCGACATCTTTTGAACTTTCCAATCTATGAAACAGCTACTAGATGTGAATTCTCATATTATAGGTGTTTAGATGTTTTATCAAATCCCAGCAGGTCATTCTTGATGTGAAGGAGCCTCATTTGTGTCTTGGATTCTACAATTCTCTATAACTTTCTTGTTCATGTGAGCATGTATTTTAAGGATCGTTGAAAGCTTCTAAATGATATGACACCCCTTGAAACAATTACAACTCATCATAACTAGGGTTTTGAATACCGGTATACAGCGTACCGAGCATAATGACCATGGATTTTGTATAAAGAATGCAAAAATTTACCAATAAGAGTATCATTTAATATTTATAATATATTATTTTACTTGTCCATAATGACCATTATTATAGGAAGTAAGGGGTAAATATAATTGCTATTTTTTTCGTTTATTATATAATGCAATGGAAGAGACAGCATGACTATGTTGGAGAATCTCCAACATAGTCATGTGTGTTAGATGAAGATAAAGATGAATTAGATAGTAATTTCATGTTGACAAAAATTACAAAAGCTGATAACTTAACGACTTAAGACTATTCTTTCTTTTCTTTCTTTTACGACCAGAATTTTTCCTATACTATGCTACTAAATTTGATTAAACAATTTAAAAAAAAAGGTTGAAAACTATATTGTGCCCAAAGCTCAAAAAACAAAATTCTGATCATTTTTAAATAACTCATGCAAAGTAAAGTCTGAATCGGAATTCCTAATCAAATAATTAGGATTCATGCAAGGAAATGCAGTGGGTAAAGCGAGTTTGATAGACCTGCTTTTGATAAAATGCTACTCTGTAAATGTTTATGAGTAGGTGGTGAATTAACAAGTAATATTTACAGTTAAACTTTGGTAAAGAAGATAAGATCAAGATGTTTTCTTCAACTTGTGTTGTCTCAGCCTTATCTCAAACAAATTCTTTCCTCACCCAAAACTGTTCTTATGAGGAACAGGTTTTAGAATCTGTTATTACCTGAATTAATGGTAGCCCTTCCATTTGTGTTGGAGTTAGTCTTCCATACATCATGATAACACTCCAAATCAGGGAGATGCTAAATTTAGCTTCACACTCTGTCAAACTAAGTTGGAACAATGAATGAACTGCATCCATTCTTTCATTGCTATTCTAACATCCGACGCAAAGAAAAGAAACCAGAATTAGCAAAGGAAGAAAAGTTTTCATAAATTCTTTGTTTCTTTGTTCTACCATTTTTTTTTCTTTCTTTCTTTCTTTCTTTTGTTTGGTTCATTCCAGTAATCTTTCACCTGAGTGGACCGACAGTTCGGTCGATCCACAGGGTCGGAATCAGTACCTTATGGCCTTAATTCACTTTTGGCGATAGTATCTGTAATTTTATAGTTTTTGTTGCGTGGATTTATTGTCATTTGAGGTCGAGTAAGCAACTTGAAGAAGGATGGGTGTCTGTTGCTGCTTCAAATCTTATAACGTGAGAGATGAGCCTCAAGAAGAGAAAGCTGAAAAAGGAGGGAGCAAGCTTTCCTCCCAAGTCAATAACCTTTCAACTGAATCTGGTATGTTTGATGCATTTACCTGATGACAATTAGCTTTATCTTCCACTACAAACTCCACCATTTCATTCTACTTTTCTTGTTGATCACTGAGAACAAATTTGATAGCATTAAATGAACCAGTCTATTCTACAAGGAATCAGATGTCAGCGATAAAATATCATGTATGGCAATCAGATATTCTTACTCATTACAGAATTGTATATCTAGCTTAGCCTTCAATTTCAGCATTCGATATCTGAGATTGTTTCTGTAAGAGCATGGATTAGAGCCTAAAAAGATGTCTTCTTGCAATCTTATTTTCATAGAATTTGTGCTGGTCTGTGTTCATCAGATGAAATTATTTTGGTCAGTTATAAATTCAATTTTAAGATGACATCTCTTACTTATAATTAAATTTTCTATGATATTCCTTTAATTTGATTCTTTCCTGCCTACCAATCTTACAACAATACTTTAAATTTACAACTGTTAAAACCCCATAAATTGAAGCTGATGTTCAGCAACACCTTAAATTAAACTTGTGCAGATACCCTCAAGCTTAGATCTGTAGCTGAAGTGATCTTACGGATAGGCCAGGGGAACAATTCCGCTCGTGTTTTCGCATTTGATGAACTTTCAACTGCAACAAAGAACTTCAAAGTAGAATGTCTGCTTGGTGAAGGTGGATTTGGTAAAGTTTATAAAGGTTACCTTGTGGATACAAATCAAGTAATGCCAATTGCCACTTCTACTTCATAAGCTCAATCAATGTTGATTTGGTTTCAGTAACCATCTTCATTCAATTTCTGCAGGATATAGCTGTTAAGCAATTGCAAAGAAATGGCTCACAGGGAAATAGAGAGTTCCTTGTTGAAGTATTGATGCTCAGTCTACTTCACCACCCAAACCTTGTCAATCTAATTGGCTATTGTGCTGATGGAGATCAAAGAATTCTGGTCTATGAATACATGCCGCTGGGCTCATTGGAGGATCATCTTCTCCGTAAACCATCAAGAACTTTTCTGATCCATTTGACTAAGAATTATTAGTAACCACTGGAATTTTCTACAGATCTTTCCCCAAGTAAGAAGCCGCTGGACTGGACCACAAGAATGAGAATAGCGGAAGGTGCCGCTAAAGGCCTGGAGTATTTGCACGATACAGCAAATCCACCTGTGATCTATCGAGATTTAAAGGCATCCAATATTCTTCTTGATAAGGACTACAACCCAAAGCTATCTGACTTTGGCCTTGCCAAAGTTGGACCAATTGGAGACAAGAGCCATGTATCAACCAGGGTGATGGGGACTTATGGCTATTGTGCTCCTGAGTATGCATTGACAGGACAATTAACAAAAATGTCTGATGTATACAGCTTCGGCGTCGTGTTACTGGAGATCATAACTGGAAGGAGGGCTATTGATGCATCGAGACCTTCAAACGAACAGAATCTTGTTCATTGGGTATGTTCAGATGATAATTGAGTTCATTTCATATTTTTCCTGCCTAATTCTGGTACATAGCTTTAAGCAGAGCTCTGAGATTAGCCTGATTCAAGAACTTCTGCAATCCACTATGATATGGTTTATATGTTTTGAAGTTTTCACTATAACCTTAGATGGCACCACTATTTACATGGTGCTGAAGTAGCAAGATGATAATATTAGTGTGATTGCAGTGACTTGAACTTTCTGAAAGATCCATTGTCATTAATTAGTACACAAGTAAATCTGTATAAAGAATGCAATGGTATGAAAGATCGACGTGTGTGATACCCTAATAATGGAAAACCCTTTTTTCTTTGAACCGACCAACTGAAATATATTTATTTGGCATGCTTAATCAAATTTCTAAAAATTTGTAGGTTAAAGTATGCAATAGCTGAACTCAGTGCTAGCAGCTATGGTGAGCTTATCGAGGCATCATCTCTCCTTAAATTTGCACTTAATTTCATAATTGACTTGTTTAGAGCTCATTTCCTCGACTTGTTATAACAGTATCACACTACAAATTCTCGTTCATTAATGGTGTTAAATGTTTGAATGAAGTTAATCCAAGTTTACGCATCTAATACTACTCTTAAGACAGCAACTCTGCCACTTATCAGCTTTATTTGTTTAACCAGCAACACAACATTGTATTCTGCAAAGCACTGTGGTATGTATGATCTTTGCCTTCTCAAGTTTTCACTAAAATCTCAGATATGCTATTTTACTGATTTCAAATTTGGCACACTTATTCACAACAGTTGCAGTGATTTAAACTTTCTGAAGGATCAATTATCATTAGTGCACAAACAAATCTATGAAAACAGACAACAAGAAATCATGTCTCTTTATATGTTCCATGCGGAGGTTGTGGAAGATGAAGTTTTGCACCATTTACCAATGTAGAAAGAATGCAATGTCATGAAAGATAAAGGTTTTGATACCCTTACAATAGAAATCTTCTTTTTCTTCTCCCCTTACTTTTCTGACTGAAACATATTTCCTTGGCACGTTTAATCAAATCTCTAAGAGTTTGTAGGTCAAATTATGCAATCGCTGAACTCAGTGCTAGCAGCTATGCCGAGCTTAATGAGACTTCATTTCCCCTAAACTATACATTTATTTGATAATTGGCTTGTTTAGAGCTCATTTCCTTCACTTGCTATAACAGTATCACACTAAATTTTCCGACGAAGTTACTCTGATGTTTATGCATCTAAGACTAATCTTAATGCTGTATCTCTGCCACAGTCGCAGTCTCTTGTCTGCCTAATTTGTTAACCCAGAAACACAACATTGTGTCTTGCAGGCAAAGCCACTGTTTAAAGATAAGAAGAGGTATGTGGAGATGGCTGATCCATTGCTGGAAGGCAAATACCCATTAAAAGGCCTCTACCAAGCTATTGCAGTTGCAGCAATGTGTCTGCAAGAGCAAGCAAGCGGCCGTCCACTGGTTAGTGACATTGTGACAGCTCTGGAGTATCTTGCAACTTCATCAAATGATCATTTTCAAGACTCAAAGAAAGAAAAATACACTGCTAAGGAGATCGGTGAAGGAGACAAATCGAAGTCGCAAGATGAAAGAACTCGGAATTCGTTGAGATGCAAGGAAGATAACATCGAGCGCGTGTAGTATGAGACATGTTTGTGGCTTTTTTCTTCTTCTTATTTTTTCTATTTGTGCTCTTTGTATATTTAAACGTAAAACTCAACCATTCCAAAATGATGCTGGAGATAGACCTCTTTGTATGAACTAAGCTATCCTTGACACTGTCAATTATCAGTGAATCCATCAAGGGAATGATGAAGAGTAGTAGATAAAGAGAATTATAACTGTACAAGATGTAGGACTATCTAAATCTTGAGAATGCATTGCATTGTTTGCTGTGGAAATGTCATGGAATGTTATTCTATCATCACACTTTTCTTTTGATCATAGAACAGAAGTAAATCTAAGATACATTGCACATACATGATGAATCTGGGAACTGGTGTATTACATGTCATGAATCTCACAAGTTTTGAGGAATTAGGTTTCAGATTTAGATGTCATGAACTCAGGCCTCATAGCAGATGATATAGAAGATCATTGATGAAGACCAAGATGTAAAAACCATGTAATTAAAGGGAAAATATGTATATAGAAATTAAGTTTATCTACACAAAATTAAGAATATTAAAAATAAGAAGAATATTAGGGATGATATATATATATATTCATAAATAGAAGTGGCAAATCCCAACTCCCAACTAATAATTAACTCACCATAAATCATTTTGGTATAGAATATATTATTTCTCTCTAAATAAATAAATAAATAATTTAATCATTATCAACTATGATTATAAATAAATAATTTAATTTTAGATATATTATATATATATATATATTTATAGAAAAATATATTGAATAAGATTGATCATAGTTTCATTTGGCACATCCAAAGGGCATTGATGTAATTGTATAGTTCGGGGTTCTATATATATCGACCATGGCGAGGGCTTATCTGTGCTTCTCTTTCAGCGGTTCAGTGACCGATGGCGTTCCATGTTTAGGGTTTTGGAGACGCACCAAGCGATGGTGGAATTACGGCTTGTAGGGCTTATCTGAGATGTTCTCTTCCTCTGCTCCCCTTTCGCCTCCTCTCCATGGCTTCTGTTGCGCTCCCCGCCTTCAGTTCTCTCGCCACGGGGTCCTCTCCTCGTCTCGGCGCCCCTCCTCCCTTTTCCGCTAAATCCAGGTCTTGTCTTCATCTTTCGAGACCTAATCATGGTAAGGATTTCACCTTTGTTGGCGCTTCCTCTCCGAAACCTTTCCTTTCTCGGGCACGAATAGGGTTTTCTTCTAGAATCGAGCGGCGATTTCTCGCGTTTGCTCCCCGAATCGGGGGCAGTGGGAACTCGGAAACTTCGCGGGTCGATGAGGATGATGAGATGAGGGGGCAGAGCACGATGCCGGAGAGGTTTCGCCACCTTACAAAGGAAGCCCCCGATCGCCCAGTGAGGTGGCCATGGGTTGTTGGTATGTATACCTAATAATTTACAAGGTTGTTGTAAGCACTAATTGCTTGTCTAACAGTGCAGTGTTCGCCCAAGGAATATTCGGCATTCGGTTGCATGAGCTTATGTAGTTTTAAAGATTTTTTGAGTACATAATGCAAACTAATGTGTTTGTATCTTTGGGTTTTTATCGTACGATGTCACATAACTATCTTATGCATTGTATTAATGACATTAAGTTGGAGGGTTGCCTCTTGTGTACTGTGAAATAAAGTCTTATGGTTTAACAGTAAAATTGATTTAGAACTGCACTTTATTTGTTGCCAAATTTAGTTCCAAAGGTTTGTTTTGAGTGTTGGAAAAGATCAAAAGAATTAAGAATGCAAACATGAGCTTTTGGATTCAAGTTATTAAAACTAATAATTATCTTCCAAGAATCCTTGGTGAATCATTCTTCTTTAGAAATATTGGTAAAATTCTTGTTCCTGAGTACATTATCTTATTGTTAAATTGATAAAGTTTTGTTGGCGATGCAGTAAAAAACATGCTTTGCTTATTTTACCATTTATCTTTTATTAATTTTCATATGCAGATAAATTATTACCTTTGTACTAGGTAATTTTTAATATTATTTTTGCTGTCTTATTGTTTCTTGCAGCACTTCTTTTTCTTGTTTATGCCTGGCGGACTGTATTATGGGAACTCACAAATTGGAAAAGGACAATGTTGGCGGTCATGCATTTCCTTGGTTATTTAGGCAAACTGATCCTAGCTGTTGTTTTCCACTATGTTGGTGATTTAATCACTGTGCTTATAAGATGCATTGAGTTCTGCCTCAATTCTGCAAGATATGCTTATGCCAGTGTTGTGGCATTTGCTCCTGTACCAGAGCTGACGAGGGTAATCTTGTTTGCTACAGCTGTATTAGCCATTGCTGAAGCCACAGTTCCAGACTCTGTAAACAGCCAATCACATCTGCTTACATTAGCAGGGTTTATTGGGTTTGGGGTGGTCAAGGACTTTGTTCCTGAGCTGCTCTTCTGGTTGTTCCTGTTTGGGTTGTCTTGTTACTCACGGTTTATTAAGAAAAACGATTATATATCAGCGTTACTGCCATCTGCTGCTGTCTTAGCAGCTGTTGGTGAGCCATGGGTCAGAGGCCTAGTCATGGGTTCATACTTGGCTGTTGCTATTTTTCAGCATTCTAAGACATCAGAGGAACTCCTGAGTAGAAAATTGCCTGCTACTGGTAGAAGACTTCCAGAGCCTCTCCTGCTTGCGGCCATGGCTATTGGAGTTCATCTTGCTGCCAAATGGATCCGATATCGACACTTGACATGGATGATAGCTTGATTGTGTGTATTGGACATTGATTTTTGGAGTTTTGTAAGATTACAATATTCCTGAAATTAAAATTGATGTTATCTAAGATTTATTTTATTTTATTTAACTGATCAGAAATTAGTGCTACCCTGCAGCTAAATGGTATTATCCTATCAGAAATTCCTGTACTTCTTTACCCCTGATAATCTATCTTTGTTTATCTTAGTTCTTATGTAGTGGTCACAGGTACCTAATTCTTTTCTGCAACTTGTGCTTTGCTGCTCTTTGTTGAAATGATTCTAATTTCTGTATTTCAGGATTTGAATTACATGTTCTCATGCTGTAACAGGACATTCATTCAATTATCTATGTTGGACATTCTGTGATCATTAAATTTTACATACTGTTTTAATTTTAGTGCAGCTATTCTACACTGTCAGGAAAATAATCATATGTTTCCTTTTAGATGTCTGTCTTATCTAATATTTTCTCACATTTAAGGGCATTAACGTCATTGTACTTTCAACTAATAGTTCACTAATTTGGATGTTCTTTTATGTCTACTTTGTAGAGTTTTTGGTCTACCTTTTACTAGCATAATGTAAATGAAATCTTATTATCTGCAGAGATGAGACTATCATGGACATCATAAGTTTGCTCTCTCTCTCCTCGCTCTCTATCATATGTTCCTTTTCTTTCTTTTGATTTAACTCACACATTTTTTTGTTGGACTGTCTATGAGCTTTTGCATTGTCATTATAAGAGATGAGACTATCATGGGCATCATAAGTTTATTCTCTCTGTCTCTCTCTCCTCTTGTTCTCATGTTCCTATTCTTTCTTTTAATTTAACTCCCCAGTTTTTTGTTTGACTGTCTATGAGTTTTTGAGTTGTCCTCTTGCCAAGATATCATGGTAGTTGAGGCTAAAAAACACTCATAAAAAGGGTGTTGTCATCACCTACATCTCTTTTATACTATAGGGGATTGTAGTTGAAAAACAACACAAGATCTTTTGCAATTGCCTCTTTCTGCAAGTTCCATTTCACATGTGCATTATATAAAAGCCATGCTTGCTTGCAGTTTGATTCTCTATCAAAGTGATTGTGGTTGAAGCTAAGTTCTTGTATTGTATTGTGCATTTCTGTTGTCCCTTTGCAACCACTTTCTTTGTTACCAAGTTGGACACCAAACAGTAAACTCAGGTTCTATGATATCTCATATGCATGTGGATAAAATATTTAAGACTTGGCTATTGCTTTATTTTTCAGCACTCTAAGGCATCAGAGGAACTTGTGAGCAGAAAATTTTTCTGCAACTGGTAACACTTCTAGTGCCTCTCCTGATTGCTGGTGTGGCTATTAGAGTACATCTTGCTGCCAAATGGGTACAAGGTTTAATTAGTGTGTATTGGGTACTGATCGTTGAAGCCTTGTAAGATTGCAATATTCCTGAAAGTAGAATTGAGGTTTTTGTAGATATATTTTCTTTTATTTATCTGATCAGAAATTTACATGTCATAATGCCACCCAGCAGCTATATGTTATAATCTTATCAGAAATTCCTGTACTTCTTTATCCCTAGAAATCTTTTTTGGTTCTTACTTTTGTATACCTAGTAGTTTTCAGTCGCTTGTCTACTCTGCAGCACTTGTGAAAATGATTGTGGTTTTTGTTTTCAAGGAGTGAAAGCATAGTTCTACTTCTTGCTGTAACAGGATATTCATTCAATGCCCATGTGGGACATGTTATCACTAAAATTTACACTTATTTTTAGTGCAACTATGTTCTACTCATAGCATCAAGTAAACACTGACATGTTTCCTTTCAATTGTCTGTCTTATTTAATTATTTTGGTAACATGCTTAAGGACACGAATGTGATTGTACCTTTAACTATAATTTCCTAGTTTGGATTTTCTTTTTCTTCTGCTTGGTAGAATCATTTGGTCTAACCTTTAGTAACATAACATGAATGAGATCTTATTATCTGCAGGGATGAGACTATCATTGGCATCACAACTTTTCTCTCTCTCTATTGTTCCTTTTTTTTCTTTTGATTTAATTCACTAGATTTTTGTAGATTGTCTAGGCAAAATATAATGAGTTTTTGAGTTGTCCTCTGGCAAAATATTCATGGAAATTGAGGCTAAAAAAAACTCATAAAAAGGGTGTTATCTCTTTTATGCTACAGGGTATTGTAGTTGAAAATTAACACAAGATCAAATCCACTTGCCTCTCTCTTCATGTTCCATTTCTCATGTGCATTATATGAAATCCATGTGATTGTTTCAAGTGTATGATGCTGAATGTTTGAAGTGGAAAAACTTTGATTATTGTTTTCTTAAATCTGGGCTGCCTCATGCAGATCCTGACAGGGCACATCAACTATCTTTGTGATGCTTGCACCCACAACCGATAAAATGGCTTTTGGTGCTGAACAACCTGCATGCCGTGCCCCGGCTGGAAATCCATGCTTTTTTATGCTTGCTTACAGTTTGTTTCTGTAGCAGATTGGTTGTGCCTGAAATAAAATAATGAAGAATCCATGCTTTTTTATGCTTGCTTACAGTTTGTTTCTGTAGCAGATTGGTTGTGCCTGAAATAAAATAATTTTTTCTTCATTATCTCCATGCTCCTTAAAGGTTTTGTGACGAGGCCCTATTTGTTTATTTCCATTAAATTCTGGCCAATATTTGTTTCTTTAGTTCCAATTTTGCAGTTGTTTATTATGCCCAGGAATGTTTCACTGAATTTTGTGAGAATTGATATGTTTATTATGAGAACTGCTATGTTTGCTATCTCCCGTTCAATCTTGTTGACCCTTTGTGGTTACTATCTTTGTTACCAAGTAGATCAGGTTGGTCACCAAGCAGGAAACTTCTCAGTTTCCATGGAATGTATGTTAGTAAAATATTCACAATCTTGCAAGATGGATCATCAGTCATGAGTGACCTTTTCCCTGTTTCTTGTCTTAAGCAAATATGTTTTGCAAGGTTGTAATTGGTTGTTCCACTTCTTGTTTGTATATAGGTGGTGGGAATTTACATCTGCATTTCTACTTGACAGTTGCCTTATTGGAATGCATGGAACCTTTCATCTGCGGCTCGTCAGCGTCAGGTACATCCCAATTGTTTCTATTATTATATCTTAGCTTTTTCCAAATTTTATTAAAGGATATCCCAATCCAGTTTATTCAAATCAGATAAATCCAAATTACCACAAAAGAGAAAACACTAGTTTAAATGTATCCGAACCTGATACAAATAGAAGCCCATGGAAGTGTTTGAATCTTAAGACAAGCTTGACATATACAGCAAGAAAAAGTGAAGAAAATTTGAGAGTGCAAAGAATGTTCACAGATCATTCAATACACCAATCAACAAACACATCAAGCTTTCAGGTTACTCAAGTAGAGCTCGATAAGCTTTTTCAATGTCTCAAAAACACTGGTGAAGGGGTCAAGTGCCACTGGTGCCTTTAACTCTAGATCTGGAAATTGATTCGTCAGAGCTGCCTTCATCCCGGACATTGACATCATCAAAGCTAATTGGCTATTGGACATTACTTCACAGTCCTGCGGAGTATCTTTTATCTTAGCAGGATCATACCCAAAACTTTCCAAGTATGTTTTGTACTTGTCAATGAATTCTGGTCCAGGATTTGGAGTCCTCGAGTAGATCTGGTTTAGGAACACCATCAAGTATTAGCATCCTTCAAAATGGTAATTATGTCAAGTCTTATTCAAACTTACGCATCATTAAAAATAAAAATAAAAAATTACAAAGCAAAGGAACTATCATATCTGTGCAAATTTGTACTCCAAAATACCTTAGTATCATACGGCTTACAACCGGATCAGAGTTTTCGTGTCATACCTGAATGAAGCTTCTGTCTTTAGCACCAGATACTAGAGAAAAATTATCATAGTCGGTTGCGATCACATCGTAAGGCTCCTTAGGTATGAACGGAAGTGTTGGAAAACGAAGGTAACATTTCTCTTTGATCATCTCTCGTCTCTCCAAATCAGTTTCAGCTTTTTCCATGCCCTCCTCAGAAAGACATTGGACCCTTCCCCTTATACCAGTGATGTAACCATCAGGGCCACCATGAACACAAAAGGTGTCTACTTGGATTGATGGGGTTTGAGCATCAAAGGTATATATTCCCTGAAATTATGAATCAATCTGCCATGAAATATTACGAGAATGCAGTATAAATTTACAATGCACTGTGGCATATACTTTCCATACCTGTGTGCAATGGCAGTCTTCCTGCCCCTGGCCAGCAAATCCACGTTTAAGTGAAGCCACTTCAAACCATCTTCCAGAATATCTCACTGGGTCAAAATTCTTGGCTGTCATGCCTCTCATCATCATCATCATCACATTCGCATTTCTCTCATCTGGCATTTCATCGAGTATTGAAGCAGGACCATTGTCAGTAGCAGCTGCAATCTGGCATAAACTCCCATGATGGGATGGTTCTGCAGCAACAACCTGGTCAGAAGAAACATTATGTCCTGCCATATTGGACTCTTTTAACTTCGTTATCTTGATATCAAATCCTGCTTCATGCTATTCCACTTTTGCTTGTCAGTTAACATAGATATGTCCTTCAGGGACTTAGTTACCTGGGTTGAAGAGGAAATGAACATAATGGAAGCAGCAGCAAAGGATGACAAAACATGTCTAGCAATCACCTCCTCCCTAGATTTGGTCACCCATGATGAACATGTTATATATTTTTGTCCTTGAACACAGCTTCCCGACCTACAAATAGTAAATCAGTAGTGCTAAGCAGCCAACTCAAATAGGGTTCTGAACGATGAGATAAGCAATAAATTGGCATGCTTAAACATGTTAAACATATCCCCTGGTAATTAATTCCATACTAGTAGTAAACTAAAACAAGATAGAAGAAAATATGATGATGAACTAACTAGGTATTAAATCTCAAGTACCAAATCTTAAGTGCTGGGATGACATTTTGCTACAGCTTAGTGCTCCCAGGTTTTTTGAGACCTAGAACTGATTTGGAGAATTAACTTGGGCAAGAACAGAGATCCATATCTCAAAATTTATCATTTTGTCCTCTTAGATCACTCCCCCTGCCATCACTGAGTGAACCTTCTATCCATCCTGACCCCCCAGTCATTCCTGTCTCTCCATCAAGTTGTGAGGTTACTGGCTAAAAGTAGAATCAAGCTTAAAGAACGGCAATGACAGTGCTAAGCACATCTCTGGAGTTTAGACATTGGAACAATTCACATCCTCTAGGGTTAGTTCATCCCCAGCATTTTGACTTCAGAAATTAGATGCATTTCCATGTTGGTTTGACCCATTTTTCAACTTCCATATCCACAAATGAACTGTAATCAACTTGAAACAGATCATACGAGAGTAGCAACACATTATTAGAGCTTTGGAGTAATATAATTCTCCCACTTTCTGGAAAAAATATAACAATAAACTATACATTTCTTGTGAACTTGGCACATTGGTATCAGGGTTTCTGCCTTGATACTAGTGGAACATTAGATCTTTGATGGTGATGAAATCGATGATGCCTAAATCGACTTGAGATCAACTTAGGTGCATACTCCACAACTATTTGATGTAGAGTAAATTCAGTATAAAATAATTGATTTTATAGTCCATTAATAAGGGTAATATTTCTGTACAAAATATTTCTTAACTGCCCTTCTGGCCCAACGTCCACGTGGCCTGATTATTGACCGGGTTTTACCGCCTCACGGCTGACTGTGTTGCCTTGTGTACCTATACTATCGCGTGTCGAGCTGCTATTGGTAGAGAAGGATATCCCTATCAATCTCTAGAATAATTGATTTGCTATGGGCGATCCCATTACCCGACCTAACAAAACAAACCTGAATTCACCTTCGACACAGATCTAAAGTCCACATTTTTGTTGCTTTCAACCAAGAAATCCTTGTGTAACCCTATTCACAAGAATGGGACTTCGGCATTCTAGCGGATGATTTCCGCTCAACCTTGCGTCCCGTGTAGAAAACCCAGGAAGAATTCGAAATCGCGTCAAAATCCTCTGCCAATCCGGTATGCAATGCATCTCCGAGTTCGGGGGATTCGAAGGTCCTCGAAATTTCGAGGCACAATGATTCGGAAAAAGCCGCGGAATCCACAAAGAATCACTACGACCAAGAAATGAGAGAACACATCGAATCTTCACAAAAGCGCAGCAAGAGATCGAGGATCTTCACGATCCAACATACCGAGAGGGTTGAGGAGGAGGAGGAGGATGTGGCGTCGGTGGTGGGCGGCGGAACTGCAGCGCCTGCAAGGGAACCATGGCCCTTCTCCGATGCCGTGGAGATTCTTCTTCTTCAGATAAGCGGAGGGCGATCGCTACCACTCTCTCTCTCAGTCGATGCATCGAGCGTCAACTAAGAGCGCCGTCACGCCCAGTAACATTACGACACGTGGACTTGGAAACTAACCAACAGCGAGGGAGGAGTAGGATGGTTATCCTGCTACAAGGGCACAGTAGATGCTATCATGGGCTGTTCTGGATCATTCTGGGCCGGTAGTGATAGAGGAGTAGGATTGTTAGCCTGCGACGAGAGGACAGTAGATTGAGACTTCCGATAGTTACGGGGCCGTAATACGATTTGTCCAAAAATACGTTAGATATAAAAGTCCACTTTTCATATAGTCACATATAATTGATATCTTTTTTAGATGTTAATAATAATAATAATAATAATAATAATAATAATAATAATAATAATAATAATAATAATAATAATAATATCCAAAATAAATACATCCATCACCGTTCCCATCAAACTGAGAAATCAAGATCCAATCGACATCTGTACTTGATGAATCGTGCAGAGAACCTCTTTCTTGGCCTCTTCTACATGGCTCCATTCGTCCATTGCCAAACCATGGCTTTCCCCATCACTGACCTCTTCTTCCACGTGTAAACGCAATGACACCTAAACCATCTCAAATTAGTCTCCTTTTTTAGTACACCTCGTCATGCTTTTGTTGGCATTACGTGGGACTCCAATGCCATCAACAATAATAAGCCATGTTTAGGTAAATTATTGAACGCCTAATTATCATACGCATATAAGCCGCCAAGATTCTCGTGAGCTGAGATTAGATTTAATTGACCGCGGGTGTCGGTCAACTTACTTAATATAATACGTACAACAAAAATAGAATTTTCTGGTCAAAATAATTGAATTGTCATTATTAATGGAAAGGTTTAAATCCGACGGCGGAGATCGTGGGGTCGTCGATCTGGAAGCTTCGGCTGATGGATGGTGATGGCGTGCCGACGTCGTTGATGATGATGATGATGGGGAGGTGACGTCATAAAAGACATTTTGGCGACTCCGGTAAAATTGGTGAGTGCATGTTGCCGAGGCGACGAAGGGGGGCGTGGTGGAGCACGTGAGCTTAGCTGGCTGCGTTGACTCTTGACTATAAATACCCGCCCTGCCCCATTCACCCACTCCGCAAGCCCTGCGGAGGACGCCAAGAAAAAACGATCGCTCTTTTGTTTGCTTCCCCTCTCCCTCTCTCGCCTCCTGTCCCCTGCGAGCTCCGATCCCGCCACCGATGGCAGCCAAGATTTACGTTGTGTAAGTGTTCGCTCTCACGATGCGTTGCTGTCGGTTCGCGTATCTGATTGATCCGTCATGTGTCTGATATTCTGCAAATTAGTGTCTGGGGAGGTTTGTTCTTGGATCTCAATCACGATGGTTCATTTTTCGCATTACGAACGGTTGTAGCGTGTTCATCTGATGGTGCACGCTGTAGAGATCTCGTTTGAAGATTTTGAATCGGGGGGGTATGGAAATCGCTGTTGAATCGTGCGATTTCCGTGGCTAATTTTCGATCTTGTTGCTTATTCTTGGTGAATCATTACAATGAGGGATTCCTCCTTTGGTCTTTCATTAGCGGTAGCCTTGATGGAATTCAATGTTGTGAAGACGTCGCTTAAATTAGAATCAGGGTTACAAAGTTGTGAACTTTTGAGCTTCCTGATTTGGTTGTATAGGATTAGGGTTCATGTGAATTCTTTTAGTGTTTGGCTGCTTTTTATATGTTTTAGAATTTGCTTAATACCCCCAATAAAATATAACACATTATTATGGGATGAAGTGTGATGTAGTAGGTGCATATTATTCTTTGCTTGTGTCAAGATCTCACCTCTCTTTTTTGCATAAGCAACTTGAAGAGACGGTAACTAGAATAATATCTGTTTGCCAAATACTTGTTTTTCCTCATTTAAATGCTCTCATTTTTCTTATCTGTGTTGAGTCTTGACACACACAAACTCTCGCTTTCGTATTCCTCTTCTGGTGCAAGATGTGTTCTTTGGATCACATCTAAACTGTATATTTCGTGCACTGGTGTCTAACGAGTTAGGTGATTGGTGATGGGTGCTGTGACTTTCTACTCTTTGGAACTATTTTGTGCAGTCAATCTTTATATTAGTCACAATCACACTTGCCTTCCTATCCAAGGATAATATCTTTTCTCCTTTTCTCAATATGCTAATTGAAGTGGACTATTTTCTTATTGATATAAAACCTAGCTGTGTAAGAGTTATTGGAAAGAAAATATTTGCAATAAATTGTAAAGTTCTATCTTATTATTATATCATGGTTTAGATTCGGCAGAAGTACAAGGTATTAACAGAAAAAAAATATTTATGTTCTTGTTTGTCTATATTCTATAATATTACTCCATGTAACTTTTAATCAGCAGCTAATGGAAATATGTCTTTTTTCCCCTAAAGGTACTATTCCATGTATGGGCATGTTGCAAAGCTAGCAGAAGAAATAAAAAAAGGTGCCTCATCCATTGAAGGAGTTGAAGTGAAGCTTTGGCAGGTAAAGACCCATTGTTCTTTCGTTTACCAGAACACTTGTTGACTTTAAGCCAATATGTACTAAAACTCATTGTATCTTCAACTATTCGTTGATTTCTTTTAGAAAATTTAGGATATGATAAGCAATAACATCACAGTGTCTGCCACTGGATTTGTTTTGTCTATACTTTATCCTTTCGGTGACTTGGTAACTTGTCACTGGATTTATTTATTTTGTTTTGTCTATACTGATATCCCATTTGTGTCTCTAGATCTATCATTTATTAAATGTTATCCTTTTTCAATTTGAACTTGTAAGTTTGAACAAAATATGTATATGTTTATTTTTGTTTAATCTGTGGTCTATTATATGGTCTTTCTAATTTATTTATTCTGATCAAAAACTTTTTTTCTATGGAAATACTCTTGTGTTTGTGAGGGAGAAACTTGAAGCTCTGGTAGCTGCTAACTGCTAAGGCTTCACCAAATTGTTAGAGCTATTTTGAAATAATTTAATTTTTTATCAATTAAATGTTGGTTGAGCTATGTAAATAAAGTAAAATTATATCATTGTGGTCACAATTCATCAAAGTATGAAGACAGAATGATGAGTTATTCTAGCCAAACAGGTTCCTGAGACTCTTCCTGAAGAAGTTCTTGGCAAGATGGGAGCACCTCCCAAGACTGATGCACCAATTATTACACCAGATGATCTTGCGGAGGCAGATGGGATTCTCTTTGGCTTCCCAACAAGATTTGGTATGATGGCAGCACAGTTCAAAGCTTTCCTTGATGCAACTGGAGGTCTCTGGAGGACACAGGCTCTAGCTGGTAAACCTGCAGGAATCTTCTATAGCACTGGATCCCAAGGCGGTGGTCAAGAGACTACTCCGTAAGCTCTTATGCTTTAATATTTACATCATTGACATAAAGAACTTCTATGCAGCCGGGAATTTTGTGGTCACCCTTCATCGTCAGTCTCAAAATATAAAATCCTTAAAAGTTATCCGATGACACATCTGAGTTTAGCAGATTTTTGCACCAAGACAATCCATGCCTGTTTCTAACAATACTTAGCGATAGCAGCAGATTTATGTTGGGTGGCAACTGGATACTTTAGATTTTACAATACAATGGAAATATGTTTCTTTTTGTATGAATTGTTATATATATATAACATATTACTCAGATGGGAACCGTTGGGTATATTCCTAGTCTATTTGACTGAAAAAATTTTTCCCTACCCTTTGTCCTGCAGTTTGACAGCCATAACTCAGCTGGTTCATCATGGAATGATCTTTGTCCCAATTGGCTACACCTTCGGTGCAGGAATGTTTGAGATGGAGAAAGTGAAGGGTGGCAGCCCATATGGTGCAGGCACATATGCTGGAGATGGTTCAAGGTTCCCATCTGAGCTTGAGATGCAGCAGGCTTTCCACCAAGGCAAGTACTTTGCCGGCATTGCCAAGAAGTTCAAGAGTTCCTCCTGATCATCTTGCATCTCCTCCATATAGAATAACTGTCATTGGTCTGATGAATAATGAATCGGCATTTGTTGACTTTTCTATGGCATTGAGCCTCCTTTATGTATTCTCTGGTACAACAGTGTTTTATGAACATGTCATATATATGATTGCATACCTTGGTGTTATATGTTGCTTTTCTTTGCCTCTCTTACTAAAACAGTAATTGTCATGTTCTCCATGATTTACATAAATATACTTGGAATGTAATAATCTCTTATTTTCTTCCACATCTGATGCCTCGAGCCATTGATGCACTTTTTCTCATGTGATTCGACATGTATTCATGGTATCATTCAGAGCATTAGTCATGCTTGATTAAGAAGCAAGACAATGAAGAAATCTCTCCACAGCTGTTACTGGATGTGGGTGAATTGTGCATTCCCTGGAATCTTGTTCTGGATTTATTCCTTGTCCAACACGGGCAATGAAGGCAACAAAACATTGAATCTCTCCTTTAAATATCACGACATCGCAAGAGGAGCCCACACCCTCCTTCTGCAGTCGTGACAGAGACATGACCCGTGGGCTCCTGCTCATCTCGATCTCTCAGAAGGTGACAATAAGGCCCACCTCCTCTTTCCCATTCGTCAGAAACGTCCACTAGGGGCAACCTGATACCTCCTCCCTTCAGGAAGGCCCGTATGCCCGGACGGCAAAAAGTATCGATCCCGACGACGTGGCTCGGTTTTCCTTTTCAGATGACTGAAGCGAGGCAAAAAGTACTTCCTGCTTAGTCCTGACGAGCAGTGCCTCCACAACTATCTTTCCTGATGCCACTCTCATAGAAGCATGCTAACCAGTCATCAACGTTAATGAGCCCCCGACCACGAAGGGGCACCCTGACCCATCGTTAGCTTTACACCATTGGTCGCTCAAGTGTAGAAACAACCTCCAAAACACTACTAAACTCTTTCCCCACTTCCCTACTAATTTAGCCATCGGAAGGATCAAGTTGGGAACATCTCTCGAGATTTACCGCTTGTGTGGGGATCTCAGTAAGGCTAAGGCGCATCTTGAGATGACATTAAATCTATCTCAACGAGCAAGCAACACATTGAGATTATATTAGCCGGGTCTACTTCCCACTCAGATCGCCTCTGAGACCCTCGTTGAATCTCGAATTTTGATAATAAAATCAATTGATGAATTTATGTCTCCCCTATGTGACCCTTGTTGAATCTCGAAATTTGATAATGAAATCAATTGATGAATTTATGATTAATGAGTGTTTGAGAAAAGTGATACAGGACTAACTTTGATCATAAAAATATTAAATCGATCGAAGCAAGAGAATTAAACGTTGGGCCGTAGTAGATCATGTCAAATATTAGGTATTGCACCAAGATCGGATGTTGCGAGAGGTCAACATGCTGATGGATTGGGCAATACGCTGAAGGAAATGACCATGCGCTAAAAGTTCGGATGAAGTGTCGGATGAACCAATGACATGCCGGATAACATATGATTCATGATTGTAATCGTTTGCCTTGATCGAAGTAGTTTAAGTTTTAATTGAGTTAGTTTTGAGTGTAACCATGCCAATTTAATTAGGGGCCCATTGAGTCTAAATCACAATTGAATTGGGCCTATTGGAAGGCCAATTCAGTGACCTGAAGTTGGGTCAAGCAATGGCACCACCTAACCAAGTGATAGAACCGCTTGTGAGTTGAAAAGTATAAAGTGTACATTTCTGAAAGATCCAACGGTGGTACCGCTAGTGTCATGCGATAATACCACTCAGATTGGCAATAGTACTATCCAAGCAAGTACTACCGCCAGGTGGTAATACTGCTCAAATTGGTAGTGGTACCACCAAAGTGTTGAATCTCGTATTTTAATGATGAAACTCCTTGATATATGTTTATGATTTAATCTGCGTTTTGAGTGACGCAGGGTGCTTCGATCAGGATGAGACAATTAAAGCAGGAACATCATGTTGT